GTATTTGATCATAACCATAATTACAAGTATCACATCATACTTATCTTACATACCGACTCATTCATACAGAAACAATCAGGCATGTCATAACATCTTTTCGATGGTTACACAACAATTTACATTAACATATCTCATAACATAAATAGCATAACATAATTATAACATAATAGTCATAAAATAACTATACATTAATAAACATATAAGTTATAAATACTTTATCTACATACTTTGTAACACAATCATACAATATCATCGGGTAGATCATGAACACCATAAACTCTAGAGATACGGGCGGGCTTACCATAAGTATATATTTCAAGCATGAACATTTGGGTCTTTTGCAAAATTTGACAATCTGATTCTGAACGGAACAGAAGTACAGATTTATCTCCATTTCATTGGATTAAAACATATAGTCTAATGTGATTCATATTACGACAGAACATAAATAATATTGTTCGATGCATAGTATTACTTGGCACATATCACATAGTGGTGTGAAGGTAATCTCCAGCAAGAGTACCTCGTGTGTAATTTTAGAATGACCAGTTCGTGATTCGGTGTCTAAATTAAAACTAGTTCCGTCTAGACATCTTGGAGGTCCAGATTGTTAATGATAGGAATAAAATCAATTGATTTACATGCCGTCATATAGACATATATGAATATCGCCATATCGGTTCCCATGCATGGAGCATCATTCTATACTACGAATCTTATGACATCGTGGTTAGTGTAATCCCAGGGTTATGATCATTACATTTTCCTTGGAGATCAATCATTATCTTTGTTTAGTTTCATTAGTTATTATTTCGTCATAAATGTAATTGCGAACAGACTTATTAGGTAAAAGAAGAAAAAATTACTGATAACCTTGAAGTTTAATCAAAATGAAGAGTTCTTTATTCACGTCCTTTTGGATTGTGTTTCATCATATATTTTGAAGATATCTTTAGGAATTTTTTAGTGATATGGGCAATCCGTATGTTATGGTTATCATTTTAATGCGCTTCCAGAATTGATGGTTGTTGACATGTTTTTCCTGATTAAGCAATGCTCATAAACCGGAATTTTACCAAAAGATTTGGGATCCTTCACCAATTGGGCCTCAGAAAAATATGTATCTATTGCGTCCGTCAATGAAAAGATATTGATAGTTATTTTTGTATTTACTCATACGACTCGCAGTATTTGATCTGTCCAATTCGTCCTATGTCAAAGGTTTTATCCTGGCTGGCTTCAAACCAGGATTTATCGATTTCAATGATCTTTGGGACGGTCCAGGATTGATTCAGCAGGGATCATTTTGACTTTCTATAGGAAGTTCTCGAATGTTGAGAGAAGCTGAAAAGCGTAGGCTACTTATATGTATTAGAAATGTATAAACACTGTTGTAATTTCACTTCTAATTCCAGGCAGTAACATTTTCTTACGTATTATCTTATTTAAGTGTTTTGGCTTAATTTGCGAATTTGATTGACGAGGGTTTGTCTTCGAATGTGAGTTAGTTTCCGCCGCTTCGATGAGAATACTACCAATGTGTACTTGTTGTGAAAGCAACCAGTGCTTATTCTTAAGTCCGCCAATGCAGGATCCAGTTTCTTGAGGAGTTGGTTGCACCGCTGAATTCATATACATAATCCGTAATCTATCTTACTCTTATTAAGCTTTATATTAAGTAGTCAGTATATTTTTCTGATCCCCAGTTGTTGTGATTTAGACACTCCAGGATTTAAGCTCGGATCAATATCTCCTCTTTTTAGTAAACGTTATTAAGTTCACAAACTAAATGGCAATGTGATAACAACTGTTTCACTGCACGCGATCGGGGCACGACGTGTCCCGGTCGGCTGCCGCAATGGAACTCTTGATATTTTAATCAGTGTTTTTTGACAAAAATAACTTACTTAAGGGCGGGAATATATTTTCAGCAAACTCCGTTGTCTGTAACTACAACATTCGACATAGTATGTAGATATGAACGGGAAAGGAAAATGTAGTTTTAAACGATATTTAGTAATTAGTATATGAACATAACAATGATACACTAAAATACAAGTAACATTTTTTTATATCAGAAATAAATAAAAATACATTGATTACGTATAAAGTGGACGTATTCTATTCATAAAAATGTCTTTCAATTTACTTCCGCGAAATTCACCAGCACAAACCCTATTGAGATATCACAGCAATAGTATGAATAAATGTGAATAAATGTGAATATATATATAACGATAACACATTGCATATATCATATTGTGCAGATTACATCAACAAAATTAATTTAGCTTGCCTAGTTATGAACGTCGGCAAGATTTGGCATTAGCACTACAATTTACATGACGAAGACGATTCAAAATAAAACAAATTACGGATGGAAATCAGTTTGATTTTGCCTTTTTAGCTTTGCTGGCCTCTTTCTTTGGTTTTGAGAAGCAGCAGTTGGTGAGGGCGCGCACTATGAGCCAGAAGGAAATAGCGAGCATCGCCAAGATGGCCGCCAGCACCGCCCCCACATCCAGCAGCCACAGCTGCGGCCACGCGAGGTCCACGGCGGCGGAGCGCAGGTGTGGCGCCCCGCGGTGCCGCATCACGTACTCCGTCCACCACACCGCCGTCTCTAGCGGCGCCTGCGGCCGGTCGCGGAACTGCTCGCTCAGTCGCTTCGCGTTCTTGCGGTAGCTGTAACCAAAAGGGCTACATGGAGAGAGCTACCTTAGCTCGTTTACAGCGTTCTTGGCTACAGCCAATAAGGGTTTCATTAGAAGAAACCACACTGCTCGCTCCCATGTTCTTGCAACAAACTCTATAAAAAAGCCCCACCTCTCGCGCTGCTCATTCAAATTTGATACCAGTAGCAAATCCCTTTTAATCTTAGAGTGCATTGCGGTGTGATGTATCATCGCACCAAGAACCACACTCCGCCACTTCAACGGACAACATTAATTAGTCTCACTACAAAATTTATTTCTTAACTACAGAGTGTTTTCACTTCCTAATAAACTCGTGTTAGACAAGAACGTTTGTTATGAAGTTTTTTATAAGGTCTATATATAATTGTTTTAGTTATGGATGTAAAGGATGATGTCAGTGCTGAGAAAAGAAAAAGGCCATGGTTACAAGAGATTGACCATTTAGTTGGTTATAATAGTATTGGTAATGGCGAGAATAGGGCTGAAGTGTCCTCATATCATCCAAGTGAAGAGTAGGATGATTGAGAAAATGATGAGGGTGATGTCACAGAAATCTTATGTCTCTGAAAGACAAAAATGGTTATAAGTAGTCAAAGAATCATTCTTCTAATTCTAGAACACCTGCAAGGAATATTGTTCTTCGTGATCCAAAATGCAGCGCAAAAAATGTTCGACCTGTATTCGACGCATGGAAAATTTCAATCTCTTAATCACTGATAAGAATTAAGAAATTTTGGTGCAAGCAGAGAATTATGCAGAAGGAACAAATTTTATTTAGAACAAACGATGCATTGGTACACACTTCTTCGGTAATGTCATTTGGTGTGCAATTTTATCATACAAGAATGAGTAAATCATCTTGTCAAATTTGTTTGTAAATCATCTTGTCTTTCTATATATATATATATATA